ACGAGCGTGCACCATAGGAATTACGATTAGTCGTTTCCCTAGAACTGCGTAGCCATTTTATCTAAACATTATGTGTTAGGGCACTTGAGCTATGATTCATGCCATAAATCATGTTTAGGATATATGGTGGTACTATTGGGACCCACAATGGTCATTCTTTGCTGTGAGTTATTTGTTTAATTGCAGTTGTGCACTCAGTCAGATTCATCATTACGTGTTATATCTCAGTCTCCGTTATCGTATATTATCACATCTCATATCATTTATTAGGGCTACTTAGCTTGAGTGTTGTGAGCCCAAGAGACTGGAGAGATTGGTGACTAAGTTAGGGCCAGAGTGCGTACGGTGAGTGATATCTATATATGTGGATCGGGTTGCATGTCGCAACATGCCTTATAGCTATATATAAGTGGATCGGGTTGCACACCGCAACAAGCATTTTGGCCATATATATATATATATATGGATCGGGTTGCACGCCGCAACATACCTTATGGCTATATGTTGATTGGGCTGCACGCCGCAACAGGTATCGTACAGTGCTGAGTGACTGATCGTAGCGAGCGAGAAATGAGACGGACAGATTCAATGCTCTAAGAGTGTGAGTACTTGGGATTTCACTATGTTGCATCACATAAGGTATTCACATTGTCATATAGATTTAGAGATGTCATACTCTTCTTATCAGTCACCCATTGCATAGTTTATCTTAACTAAACTTAACTGTTGAACCTAGAAGCATGCCTATTTTTCGTATTGTTAAACTCTGTATTTTTACTGTATTGTTTGAGCTCATCACTGCTTTCAGACCACATGTTAGACTTGTTACTTATTGAGTTAGTTGTACTCATGCTTCACCCTGCACTTCATGTGCAGGTCCATGTGTTTCTGAGCACGGCCGTTGCTGATTCTGGATCTTTCATTAGCTCGGAGATCATTGAGGTAGCTGCCTTGGCATCCGCAAACCCTGACTCTCCTCCTATATCTTTTAGTATTGTTTATACTATTGTACTTTCCTAAAGAGTGTTCTATTAGTTGGACCATGATGTTATGTAGATGCTCATGTACTCTGTGACGCCCGGATCTTTTGGGAGAATTTTGCACTGACTTTTGATATCTATATCCAGTTCTTGCGAGATTCTTACTTATTTAAATTTATTTTTGTATATTTGGAATTTTAAAAATGTTGGTGTGTGTGAGATGTCGGTTTGCCTAGTATCATGATAGGCGCCATCACGACATGTTAAATATTGGGTCGTGAGAAGTTGGTATCAGAGCCTAGGTTACATAGGTCTCACGAGTCATGAGCATGTTTAGTAGAGTCTTGCAGATCGGTACGGAGACGTCTGTATTTATCTTCGAGAGGCTGCCGAACCCTTAGGAAAACTTCACATTCTTGTATTCTTGTCATGCGGATTTGTTGATTCCGGGAACTAAGCTTCTGTTATTATATTCTCTCATATATGGTGAGGATACGTGCTATCATATAGAACAGAAACCCACCAGTACCACCAGCTAAGGCCATGAGAGGCTGAGGTCGCGGTAGGGGCAGAGGTGCAGCTTGCACAGCAGCTAGAGCAGCACCTGCAGATCCACCTGTTGCTCCGGCTCAGGAGCATGTTCCAGATATGGTTGAGCCGGTGGGACCAGCTTAAGCACCAGTTGTGCCTATTGTGATCCTAGGCCCTCAGGAGGCTCTGGCCCAGATATTGACTGTTTGCATTGGCCTTGCTGAGGCAGTCTCAGTTCTGGCCGCAGAAGCCACTTCCCAGGCTGGGGGAGGTTTTCTGACTCCTGGCGCCTGTACTCTAAAGCAGGTAATGCAGGGACTTCAGACACCGGGGGTACTACCAACCCAGCCAGTTGAGTTGCTCAGGCCCAGGTAGGTCCCGTTTTGACTGACGATGAGCAGAGGAGACCAGAGACATTTGGGAGACTCCAGCCTCCATCTTTCAGTCGGGCTGAGTTTCAGGATGCCCAGGACTTCTTGGATAGGTGCCAGTGGATTCTTCGCACTGCGGGTATTCTGAAGACTAGTGGGGTCTCATTCACTACTTTTCAGTTTGTTGGGGCTGCCTTCAGATGGTGGGAAGCTTATGAGAGGCGCAGGCTAGTCGGTGCAGCACCACTTACATGGCATGAGTTCTCCATTTTCTTCTTGGAGAAGTTCGTGCCACAGTCTCGCAGGGAGGAGCTGCGTAGACAGTTTGAGCAGCTACGTCAAGATGATATATTTGTGACCCAGTATGAGATGAAGTTTTCAGAGTTGGCTTGTCATGCAATTTGTTTGGTTTCCACTGAGAGGGAGATGATTAGGAGGTTCCACCACAGCAGGGATCGTCCTTGTATGCCCGCTCAGATGACGCGTCCAGTTCATTACGGTGCATCATCTAGCCATGTTTCATAGAGTGTCAGTCCGGGTCAGTCATCTCTCAGTACTCTTCCAGCTCAGAGTTCATCCCGTGCTCTTTTAGTTCACTGTTCATCTGCACCAGGTTCTTCTAGCGGGTATTCTGATTCTAGGAGCCCGAGCCAGTCCCCACCACTATTAACGGATAGGGGTTGCTATGAGTGTGGGGAGCTTGGTCATATCAGAAGGCAGTGTCCCCGCCTCTTGGGAGGGCCAGTTTAACAGAGGGATCAGACTATGACTTCAGCACCAGTTACTTAACCACCCGCCCAGCCATCTCGGGGTGGGGCTTAGGCAACTAGGGGTCACCCTATAGGGGGAGGCCGATCAGGTGGCGGTCAGGCCCGATTCTATGCTATTCCTGCCAAGCCAGATGTCGTTGCTTCTGACATAGCGATCGCATGTATTGTCTCAGTATGCCACAGGGATGTTTCTGCATTATTTGACCCTGATTCCACTTATTCGTATCTATCATCGTATTTTGCACATTATCTGGATATGCCCCGTGAGTCCTGATGTGCCGTAGAATTATGGCACTTTTGATACTAATTACATAGACTTTAGCTTGTCTTTTAAACCATTTTAAGTCATTTCTTATGTAGTTTTGGTGGTTTGCAGGAGACGAGACTTGAAGAACCAAGATCATAAGAGAAGTTGTCAAATAACTATGAAAGGATGCAAATGTGTATGATCTGCGATCACATAACTGACATACTGGTCGCAGAAGTGTCGCATAATGGATCATTTTGTTCCATATGTTGATCTCCATGTATGCGATCAATTATGCGGCTGCATAACAGTTATGCGGACCGCATACTAATCGCACAATAATAGTTAGTTGAAGGATGATATGCGATAGATTATGCAGTCGCAGAAGAAATATGCAGGCCACATAACTTAAATGCGAAGTAAAAGATTGGACGATTGTCAACCAATTATAAGATGGAAATTATGTTCTGCGGACCGCGAATGCCTTCTACGGCTTGTTTTGCGGTCGCAGAATATCTCTGAAGGGTATTTTTGTCATGTTTTGACCCCGACTTTTAGACCATTATAAATAGAATGATTAGAGTTTGTATGTCAGATCTGGTCTGATATAAGGAAGCTACACTTAGAGCATTGAATGCACCATTATTTTGGAAGCTTGTGAGATAAAATCCAAGACTTTGTCTATAATTGTAAGCTTCTTGACTTTATTTATTACATTATTTTTGTATTTTAGTATGAGTACCTAAGTTTAAATACTAAGGTTGTGAATCCTATGTGGGTGTAATGTTAATGTGTGTTCATCACTAAATGTTTATATAACAGTTAGTCGATTTCTATTCATTTCTCATGCTTCATTGTAGTTGATGGTTGCAAACATTGACTAGTGCCAATTCATTATATCTTTACTTGGGAAAGTGGGTTAGAGTTTGGCAGAATTGAATTGGTTGTTCTTAATTATCACTTCTTTTATATTTGAAAAAATCATAAAGAGGAACTACTATCTAATTATTGAAAAATATTAGTTAGTAACGTAGGAATCATTTGCATATCAACGGGCTTTCCATTTAAAAATATAAAATATGAACATCATTAGCATTATATTCCATTGATGGAGACATAACCTTGGTTTCTTAATCAATTTAATCAAATCATATCAACGAAATAGCTTTTATTGATAATTCACAATTATAACACTCACTATTTAAGCTAACGGAGTAGGATTACAACTTAAGTCAAGTTTCACACTACTCAAGTAACCTTTTCACACCTATTCTCTTTGGGATTCGACCCCAACCTAGTTGGATTACTATATTTGACATTGACTGCCTTACACCATTTATTTAGGTGTAATTTGAGCGTATCATATTTTGACGTCGTTGCCGGGGAATACGGTTTTGAAATTACTAACTAGTGTGTGCTTCACTTGACGTATTCTTTTATTCCACCGCACTATGCTTGTTTTGCTTGGTGTCATTAGGTAAACATGGGCGAGCCAGAAGAAGAGAATGTGGTTGCGGATATAGAGAAGTATATTGAGGATACAAATGCCATTGTCTCTCCAAGAGTTGTTACTGCGACCTTCAAAGTGGAACACAGTTTAATCCTAATGCTAAAAGCGAAGGGGTTCTTCCGAAATTCCACTGATGATGATCCGACACAACTTCTCAGAAATATTTTTGGTGTGTGTGCGATGCACAAGCAGAATCATGTCTCGTTTGATGCCCTAAGGCTTAGGGTGTTCAAGTACTCTCTAACGGGAGAGGCAAGACAGTGGATCTAAACTCTACCTCCTAATTCTATCCTTACTTGGACCGAACTTGTCCAAGCTTTCCTAGCAAAATGGTTTCCACAAAGCAATAATTCCGAGCTCCGGGATAAAATCTTCTTCTTCAAGCAATTACCATGAGAGCATCTACATGAAGCATGGGATAGATTCAAGCTATATTTGGTAAGGTCGCCGAATCATGGCTTTCCGGATAATATTCTATTGGATAAGTTTTACACGGGCTTGGATCCTATAAATCAATCCATAGCCAAAAATGCAGTGGATGGTTCCTTTATGGACAAAACATTTACAAGGGTCACACAAATCGTAGATAAGATGGTTGAACATAACCAAGCTTGGCACTTGGAAGATACCACGGGTGGAATTACATATGGTACTCCCTCCTTGACCAACATGATTAAAGAGAACCAAGAAAGAGATCAGATAATAGCCGGTCTTTCCACCAACATCAACGTGTTGACGAAAATGTTCACTGAAAGCCAAACAAAACAGGTAAATGTTGTGGAAGATGTGCAACCCATATTGAATGAGGATTACGAAGAAGCAAATCATGTCAACAATCCTCAAGGAGTATATCAAAGGCAATCTTACCAAGGTTCAGGACAACAACACCAATGGAGGTCTAACCCGCAAGGGCAAGGCAACCAACAATGGCGAAATAACCAAGGTAATTCCAATCAAGGAAATTGGAGTAACAACAACAATAACTTTTTAAATCGGAGTTCAAACCCCTATGTTCCACCAAAGAGGCAATATTCTAATTCTCCGCATTGGAAAGAAAGCTCTTCAAGTGATTCCAAGTTAGAAAGCATGCTTGAAAGAGTGTTGCAAAATCAGGAGAGATCCGACACTTCAATGAAAAATATGACCGAACTTGTGGGTTCTCACACCGCATCCATACAAAAGTTGGAAATACAAATGAGAGATCTCTCAAGAGAGCAAAATCCGAAGCAGAAAGGTACGCTCCCAAGTGACACAATTGCAAACCCAAAAGGTAGTGGGAGTGGTTCGACTTCCCATTGTATGGCAATCACAACTCGAAGTGGGAAACTACTTCAAGGAGAGAATGAACAAGTGGTCGAAGTGGAAGATTCTGAACAAGAAGTTGAGGCCCAAGTTGAGGTGCCAATTGTTGTTGAAGTTGAAAGACTCCCGAAGAAGGTGAAAATTCAAGAAGTGAACAATGAAGAGGTTAAGGAAAAGATAATAGAGGCACCAAAAACTCTAGCACCAATTCCTAGGCTTCCTCCTCCTTTCCCTCAAAGACTTCCTAGGAAGGTCGATGATAGCAAACTCGAGAAGTTCTATGACATTCTCAAGCAATTATCGGTGAACATTCCATTTGTGGAAGTATTTCAAGAGATGTTGGGTTTTGCTAAGTACTTGAAGGATTTGATCACTAAAAAGAGAACCACTAAGAATTAAGTGGTGAATGTGACTCACCGGGTTAGTTCCATCATTGCAACAACCACCGACCAAAAGAAATAGGACCCGAGAGCCTTCACCATTCCATGCACTATTGGATTGCGCAATTTTGCACGAGCCCTTTGTGATAATGGAGATAGCATCAACTTAATGCCCCTTACTATTTACAAGCAAGGAGGATTAGGTATGCCTAGGCCTACAAGTATGAGGTTGCAAATGGCCGACTGTTTAATAAAGCGACCGGTGGGGATTGTTGATTATGTTCTTGTGAAAGTGGGAAAGTTTCTCCTCCCTGTCGACTTTGTTATCCTCGATTGTGTTGTTGATAAAGAAATCCCTATCATCTTGGGGAGACCATTCCTTGCTACCGGGAGAGCACTCATAGATTCGGAACGAAATGAGATCAAGTTCCGAGTTAATGACGAAGAGGTTACCTTTCAAGCGAGTAAAGGTATGAAATTGCCACATGCATAAGAAAGTATCTCAGTCATTGATGTTGTTGATAAGGTAGAGGATGCAATCGAGGTGAAGATGGAAGAGGAATGCCTTGGTGAGGCATTGGCAGCTATTTTGGTAAATTTTGATGGTGAAGACATGGAAGGATACATGGAATCGGTGAATGCATTGTAAGGGCTTGGGTCCTACACTTATGCATAAAAGAAGCTTTCTCTTGACTTAGAGAATAGAGTCACCCCTCATTGTAAGCCTTCAATTATCAAGCCGCCATAACTTGAGCTCAAGCCACTTCCATCGCACTTAAGGTATAAATTTCTTGGCTCTAATGAAACTCTACCTATAATTGTTACTTCTTTGTTGAATGATGTACAGGTTAAACACTTATTGAATACCTTGAGGGAGCACAGACAGGACATTGGGTGGACTATAGCGGATATCCGAGGGATTCCCGCCGGAATTTATGAGCACAAGATACAATTAGAGCAAGAGATCAAACCTAGCGTGGAGCATCAAAGAAGGTTAAACCCTTCCATGCAAGAGGTGGTGAGAAAAGAAATCATAAAATGGTTGGATGTCGGGGTTGTCTACCCCATTGCCGATAGTACTTGGGTGAGTCCGGTGCAATGTGTGCCAAAGAAAGGAGGCATGAACGTGATTCAAAATGACTAAAATGAACTCATCCCAATGAGGACGGTGACCGGGTAGAGAGTTTGCATGGACTACCGGAAGCTCAATAGTGCTACTTGCAAAGACCATTTCCATATGCCTTTTATTGATGAAATGCTTGACCGGCTAGCGGGAAGGTCATTTTATTGCTTCCTGGATGGTTATTCCGACTACAACCAAATCAACATCGCCTTAGAGGATCAAGAGAAGGCAACATTCACATTCCCGTATGGGACCTTTGCCTTTAGCCGGATGCCATTTGGGCTATGCAATGCCCCGAATACCTTTCAACGATGCATGATATCAATCTTCTCGGACATGGTGGAGGATTTCTTAGAGGTGTTTATGGATGACTTTTCTGTAGTTGGTGATTAATTTGAGCATTGCCTTGACAACCTTAGACAAGTGCTCAAAAGATGTGAGGAAACAAAACTTGTGCTAAATTGGGAAAAATGTCACCTAATGGTGAACGAGGGTATTATTCTGGGCCACAAAATCTCCAAGCAATGCATAGAGGTTGATCGGGCAACGATCGAGATCATTTCCAAGCTTCCTCCTCCCACTTCGGTAAAAGGCATTTGGAGCTTTTTGGGGCATGACGGTTTTTATAGGTGATTTATCAAAGACTTCTCAAAAATTGCAAGTTCCTTGAAAAGGATGCAAAGATTGATTTCGATGAGAAGTGCCTCAAAGCTTTTGAGGAGTTGAAATCAAGGCTCACCACAACACCTATTATTGTAACACCCCGTTGGTCTCTTCCATTTGAACTCATGTATGACGCCAGTGGTGTAGCTATTGGAGCGGTACTAGGTCAACGACATAACCAGATTCTTCATCCTGTCTACTATGAAAGCAAGAGACTCAGTGGTGCACAAATGAATTACGCTGTGACGAAGCAAGAACTGCTTGCTATTGTCTATGCATTTGAAACATTCCGGGCCTATTTGTTGGGCTCCAAAGTGATACACCGATCATGTTGCTCTCAGCTACCTTATGGCAAAGAAGGATGCTAAACCAAGATTGATTAGGTGGGTTCTTTTGTTACAAGAGTTTGACTTTGAACTCAAAGTCAAAAAGGAACAGAGAATCAAGTTGCGGATCACTTGTCTAGGCTTGAAGAGGAAGGGAGAGCAAAAGAAGATCTTGAAATTAATGATGCATTCTCTGATGAACACATATTGGCATTGTCTAGCACCTTCACTCCTTGGTATGACAACATCGCTAACTTCTTGGTTAGTGACCTTATCCCCGACGGATTGGAAGCTTATCAAAAGAAAAAGTTCTTGCAGGAGTGCAGGCAATACTTTTGGGAGGAACCCTTTTTATTCCGGATTTGCGCCGACGACATCATTACGTGTTGTGTTCCGGAGGATGAGGTAATTCAAATTATCAAAGCATGTCATGGCTCCCCAGTTGGGGGCCACCACGGTGGAAATGGTACTGCAGCTAAAGTGATTGAATGCAGCTATTATTGGCCATCGATCTACCAGGATGCATACCAAATGGCCAAGGCATATGATCAATGTCAAAGACAGGGGTAAATTTCTAAAAGGAATGAGATGCCTATGAACTTTGTGATGGAAGTCGAAATCTTTGATGTGTGGGGGATAGATTTCATGGGTCCCTTCGTAAGCTCTTACGGCATGACATATATCTTGGTGGCAGCAGATTATGTCTCCAAATGGGTCGAGGCAATTGCCTTGCCAAACAATGAGGCAAGGAGTGTAACCGCCTTCTTGAAGAAGAACATAGTTACTCGATTTGCAACCCCAAGGGCCATCCTTAGTGATGGTGGCTCTCACTTTTGCAACAAAGCTTTTGCCGGGTAGCTCGAGAAATATGGAGTTAAGCACAAGGTGGACACCCCTTATCATCCTCAGTCGAGCGGTCAAGTTGAAGTTCCCAATCGGGAGATCAAAAACATTCTAGCAAAAACTGTTAATGCAAACAGGACCGACTGGTCAAAGAAGCTAGATGATGCATTGTGGGCATATCGAACAACATTTAAGACTCTCATTGGAACCTCATAATACTAGTTGGTTTTTGGTAAGGCGTATCACTTGCCAGTGGATCTTGATCGCAAAGCTATATGGGCATTGAAAAAGTTAAATCTTGATTGGGCCGAAGCAGCTAATCTAAGGATGACACAACTCAACGAGATGGAAGAATTCTGTTTTCATGCCTATGAGAATGTAGCCATGTATAAAGAAAGAATGAAGCTTGTTCATGACAAGAAGATTTTGAAGTGGGAATTTAAATCTGGTGACTTGGTCTTACTCTTCAACTCAAGGCTGAAGTTCTTTCCGAGCAAACTCAAATCCAAATGGTCTAGCTCGTTCAAAGTTGTGAATGTATCTTCCTATGGCGCTATTGAATTGGAATCTGAGGACGGGACTCGAACCTTCAAAGTAAATGGCCAAACAGTCAAGCATTACCTCGGAACCATTGGAGAAAGGTACTTGGTATAACAATTCGCACTCAAGGATGGTCCTACACCAACCCCTACCACTGATTAGCCAAAATGGGGGCAACATCGTCATGCCGTGACGTTAAATCAAGCGCTTCTTGGGAGGCAACCCATGTGTTGGTAACACTTTTTGGTTAGATTTTAAATTTTGGTAAGTTTATTTGTTAGTGTTGAATAGTTTGACGTGTGTGTTAGAATGCAGGTGACCCAAAATACAAGGAAATAGGATGCAAGGGCAGAGGAAAATAAAGGAAAGCAAGCTGATCTTCAGCTGTGTTCTGCGGTAACATATGCGGCCGCATAAAACATTTGCGGACCGCATAGTGGTCGCAGATACAAGAAGAAAAAAATGCAAATTGGGCCTTAGTAAATGTGGTAAGGATTTAATTTCTGCGACCTGTATAATGTTTCTACGACCGCAAAACTTGTCGCATATCTATTGCGCAACACTCAGTCACTAACCCATCGCATAACATATATGCGGCCACATAATATGTTATGTGATGCGCTTTTTCACCGCAAAATGTGCAGGTATTAAGCCCTAGGTCTCTCTCATTTTCGTCTTTCATCTACACTTCCACACACACAGGTACAAAGCATAACACATAAGAAAAGAAAGATAAGACCAAAAACACTGAGAAAAACAAAATCAAAAAGGAATTGAAAAGGAAGGGGCTTACCTTGCTCGCAATTTAGACCTAAATACTCCATCTTCCGATATTTGGTATGTCCAATTCAATCCTTTCTCTTGCTTAGTCAAATTGAAGAGTGCCATGTGCTTTCATTACCCTCCTCTTTCTCCCCAACTCCTTGCTAAGGGTAATCATTTCTGAATGATTGTACTGAAAATCAACGCTGGGGGGAAAATACATGCTGTGGGTAAATCGAAATTTGGGGGTTCGAATTAGGGAGTAGGAATAGAGTAAAGAGGTTGGAAAAGTTGTGAAAAATTGCATAATGTATCGTCCTGATGAATAAGTGTGCGTTGTGCATTTGGGACTGAGTATGAATTTGATGTTTGTGTATTTGCCTGTGAATACCTTTTTGATTAGGAACGATGATCTTTGCGGTCCGCATAACTGATTTGTGGTCTGCAAAATCATCGCAATTTGCATGCTATGAAGTTTTCTCAAAGCCCATGTGCAGTTGATTTTGCGGTCGCAGAAATATTTTGCGAACCGCACAATGGTCTCAGTCAGAGGCAGATAAAAAGCTATTTCTGAAGAACAAAATGCAACCGATCTGCGGTCGCAAAGTTGTTCTGCGACCACTTCTGCGAAACACATTGTTTGTTTTGCTTCTGAGGGGTGTAATATACAAAATGTTTTGCGTCTCACAGAGTTGTTCTGCGATCGCATAACTAGTAGCAGAACCTTCTTTGTTTTTCATTTCTTTCCCATATGTACCCATG